CGCCCCTTGTTGAAACGCTTGTTGGATGGCCAGTTAGCAGCTCTGGGCTGCAGCTGTAGTTAACACCAGCTGTAAAGTATTCTGGTTCCTTTTGCCTTTTTGAAAACCATTGGTTAAAATACTAAAATACTAAATGTGTTTTGTGTACTACTTACTGAAATGTATAAACAATGTCCTTGGCTGATTGTTCGGGGTTGTGTTGTTTTTTTGTGTTTGGTTGGGTTTTTTTGTATAGTTGAATATAATAACTGTGAAAGAAAAAACATGCCACTCTTGATGAAGAAGAAACTAAATATGATTATTCCATGATGTATGTGACTGGAATCCTGAGTAGGAAAACAACAAAAACCCAGGACCTTTGAGCTGTTGAGTCTATGTAAAAGTCTGACTACCTTTTATTTTATTTTCTTTTTTTTCCAGAGTGCGCAACTGAGTGAAATCATCAGCAGCCTAATTGCCCCACTAAATCTGTCTCCAGCTTCTTCATCTCTTTCATCCAAGACCTGTAGGCACAGACAGCTGGTCAATGGCATCTCTTTCAGGTAGGTGACAGTACAGTAGCTTTTTTTTTTTTTTTAAATAACTTTTGGTGAAGTTATATGGACGGAACTGATAATGATTACAGTGGTAAATCAGGAAAAGAGAGCTGCTTTCTGCAGACTTCAGAGAGAAGTCAAGCCTTGCTTGTAAGGTTGAAAGTAGTAGGATTTTTTATTGTTCTTAAAGACATCATAAAATTATGCAGTCACTGTTAGGTATATTTAAGTACTGGGAAGATGAATATATCTGTGAAGTAGTGAAAGGATGCAGTAAGTAACACACTACTGATTATTTCAGACTGACCTTGTTTCATCATGAGTGCCACTTTATTTCTGGAAAAGCAATGAACTAGACTTTAGTAGATTAGTAGAATACATAAGCAGTGGCACCTGTGCCTCAGCTTGGGTAAGTGTTAGTTTTTAGTGGCAGCTTCATTTATTTTAAGCACATCAATCTTCAATACAAGGCCAAATTTATCTTTGCCAGCTACTTTTTCAGTGATTTGGAGATAATATTTTTCCATTTGTGGTCTTTTGTTCTGGATGGATATACCTTCCAGGATGACTGTAGCAGCTCAAACTTAATATTGTAGAAAAATGTTTCTTAGTACTACTGCATACTTCTTAGTAATTCCATCTTTTATTCATAGATTTTAAAATATAGTACAGGCTGTAATCAGTATTAGTCTCAAAACAGCATTAAGGTAACTGACTGCATTCCTGTCTTACAAAAGATCTAGGTATGTAGGTTATTTCTCCTGAGATACTGATAATCTGATTTTTGAGGTGTTGCTGTTTTTCATAGGTCTTAATTAAGATCAGGTGGATGAAGAAGGTGTTCCCTACTAGAGCTGGGGGGTTTATGGCAGTGTCTGCAGCAGAACGTAATTCCCCAGCTCGAAGAAGAGCTGGCCACACTATGTTTCAGCAGCTTTGCTGCAGAGACTGTAGCCTGCCACAAAGAGATTATAATGAGCAGCTTGGATGGGCAGCTTTAACTGCCGTCTGTTCCAAAGCAATTGTGTGACTGTGCCCTAAATTTAAGGATGGGGGTCCTGTCACGTAGCGTTCATGCACCTGACGTATCAGTTGTTTACCAATAATGTAGGGGAAAATCAGAAGATTCCTTGGTGAGTTTTGGTATAAAATTAGCCCTGAAACATGAGTTGCTAATAGAGATGGGTATGTGGAAGAAAAGAGTAATTTAGGCTGCTAGAAGGCTGTGTCTTGAATTTGTGAGTTTTTCCCAAAATAGATGAGGAAGGGATCCTGCTTTTAAAAACGTTCTTAGGAGTATATGAAGTTGACTTCATGATGAGGGACTCTAATGATGTAACTTCAAGCCGCTTCTCATCTGGCACTGTCCAAAATCAGTCCTCTTTCCATTTTATGAGCAACACAGTTGTTTGCTCACAGAGCACTCTCTGTAAGGCTGGTTGTTTTCTACTCATGACCTATAAAAGCCCAAAGAAGAATGAGAAGACTTGGAAGATTTTCTCACTGCGGTAGCTCTAAACTGGAGTTGGTGAGTTAGGTGTTGGAAGGGAATCTGAGAGACTGGAGACCTTTCTAGATGTCATCTCAAAAATCAGTTAAGTAGTTAATATTAATTTTTTGCTTCTTGTGAAGTATTCTGAGTTCTGCAAATAAATACTGTTCATTAAAGATGATAATTAAATACCATATAGAGTGGTTACCATGAGAATCTTGCAGGGAAATTCACTGCCTCCTACTTCTTGTTTTTTTGAGTGTGTTTCAGTTTTTTGTTGTATTTTGTTGTTGTAGTTTTGTGTGCAGTTAATTGAGACAATTACATACTACAGTTAATTTCTTGGCTGCTTCTCCCCTCTTTCTAGAGCTCATTCTGACTGTATTAAGTACTTGAGAAAGTAGAAATCAAAATCAAATGGAAGTAAGGTGATCTGTTTTTTTGTTTTGTAAGAGGAAGAAAAAGGGATGATAGCGATTTTTACTTAAGTAAATTCTTGAAATTAGTTGTAGGCTCTTGATGTGAAAGATACAATAGTCCATCTTTAAAGTAGGTCTAAGCGTGAGATGCTTTGAGGTTGGTAATCACAGGGTTGCAGTATGGTTGGTTACTTGGGCCATACCCAGTGGAAGTGGTGGTGCATGTATGGTTTCTCGTTGATGAAATGTGGGTAACCTTGAACTGACGTTTGTCAAGGTCTAATTTCATTAGTGGCTTCCTTTTCTATGTAGCCTTTCTTTCTCAATTGAATCTAGATGCCAAGATTAGCCAGATGCATTGAAGGTTCATAGAAGCAGTTCGCTAAGCTAGTGATAACCACTTTCTTATCAAGAGAAAAGAATGGAAAAGTTCATTACTTCAGTACAAATAGTGCCTGTCTGATGGCTTTCTGTGCATGTGCGTATCTGTCAGTAATGTGAAAATCTCTGCGCTTTAGAGCTAGGCTACAGCGCAAGAAAGGCCAACCTACAAGCTTTGAAAGCAGTGTTTCAGCAAATTCGTGAATTTTACATCTGGTGATGGTTCATCTCTGCTCTTCAGTAGAATCACATTGTTTAAAAACCCCAAACTAACATCAAAATAAACGGATAACTCGAACCTTGACTGGGAAGCCTATTTACACAAGTGGCAGGAAAACCATATTGCTGTGTACTGGAGCTCCAAGCCACAGAGCTAAGATCTCTGCTTCATCTGAAAATGGGGCTGTGTGCATTACTGTAAGGCACAGGATGGTAAATAGAGCAGCTGGCAGAGACTGCAGAGAGATTATCAAAGACCAGAGCAGGCCACCAGAACAAAGGCGGGAATTGCAGAAGTTGAAGAGACAGACTGAGGAGCTTTTTGGTCTATTTTACCTGTCCAAGTTATCTTTCATTTAAGAGGGAGGTATGTGGAAGTCCAGAAGTTGGGCTTGGCACCATCTGACTTCAAGGTGAATAATTACAGAGAAAATGTTTTTGAGAAATCAGAGAAAGTATTTTAAGAAAACTTTTGCACGGGCTTTAAACATTGTATTTCTTTCTCAAGCCTTAAAAATTCAGTGTTAGTATTAGGAATGTCATGCTTCAGTATTTTGGGGCTTTTTCTTGGCACTTACTAATATGTTCCTTCAAATATGTTGTACCATCCCTCTTTTAATTAGCACATTTTTTTCATTTGTGTCTGTGTTGCTTATTGAGATTGTTCTTACGTGTCAGAAGGACAGCTCAAATTTGTGCCCATAAAGCCTTATTACCACACCAGCACAGCATGGGATGGTGTTTAATCACACTTTCATAATAAGCCCTTCTGTTTAATAAAATTTACTGTTAGAAGAATACTACATGTCAAAAAAGATTGATAAATGACCTTGTAATAAATTCATTTTCATGTTTTATTGTGTGTTACAACTTTGTCTGGCAAGTCACAGCCTCATTAGCAAAGTTCATGAGAGAAAATAATCATTTGTGCAGATAGATGACCTGTTACGAACCAAGGCCAAAATACCTCGTATACTTGCAGTTCTCAGGCAGTGTAGAGTTGAAGTCAAGGTCTTCAGTATTGTAAAAATAAATGCACACTGCACACTTGAGTGCTTTTTGCAGCAAGCCTTCAGCTTTGCAGGCAGATGTTGCAGCAACAAAATAAGATCAGGATACTTATAAAAGTGAAGTGCATTCTTCCCGTTGAGTCATTCCTACCTGAATGGAGAGTGTTTTGAATTCTTACCTTGTAGAGTGTTGAGCAGAAAGGCTGTAGATTGGTGTGAGTGATCCGAGGTCGTTGCACAGATAGGTATAAAGTTTTCTACCGCTGTTGTCACATAATTTTTGTGATTGCATACTGTATTACTAAGGGCATGAGTACAACCTGTGTGTGTGTAGGTAAGGTTGTAGAGGGATGATGCTGTAACACTGAGGGGGATTTGAAAGGGATAGATTTGGGGAAATGCGTTAAAACGAACCTTTCCATGTATCCATGTAGACCCTGTCACATTGTGACTGGAGCTGAGCTTGCGTTCTTCCAAATCATCTGGGTCTAACCAGCTTCTAGGTCTTAAAGACAGCCAAACAGGCTAAGCCTT